GTTGTGGCCTCTCCCGTTGCAGAGCACAGGCTCCGGATGCACAGGCTCAGCGGCCATGGCTCACGGGCCCAGCCGCTCCACGGCACGTGGGATCTTCCCGGACCGGGGCATGAACCCGTGTTCCCTGCATCGGCAGGCGGACTCTCAACCACTGCGCCACCAGGGAAGCCCTCATAAACTCTTTTACTCTTTGAGCATCAGCCTTGGTTACCTGGTCCTATCTCTTAAAGAATTCAGAATATAATATAATAGAGCAAACATTTCCTTAGAATTTATAACTTTTTTTTAGAGTGGTAGGTTGAGAGGAAAATATGGTCACTCTATAATAGAATAAGATCAAAGTGTAACATATTTTCTAATAATACCCACATGAATTCCTGAGGGAACAATTAAGATCATGAAGTCTCTGTCCAACAATGAATAAATCCATTGTACTTTGTTAACCTATTTGGAATTATTTTACTAAGAAAAATTAAATCACTTCTAAGCAGTGGGGATCACTATGATGTAATGGCCATCAGCATAATTAAGAGTTGGGAGATTCATATTCTATTTATGATTCCATAGGAAACTATATATGAACTTTGATCCAACTTCTCAGTCAAGAAGAGAGGATAGTGATGTTTATCTCTTCTATAAAAACCCCCATTCTAACACTAATTATATTATTTTTTGGATGTGTGCTTTCATAACAATGATTGAAAATAAAATATTAAGCCAGGCTTTTTGCTCTAGTATTACCTAAAATCCAGGAAATGTTTTACATTTAGCTGTCGGCAGTTCTGGAAGAGAAACCAACATCTCCTGTTTCCTGCTCTTTTCAATCCATATCTAAATACCTAGATATTTCAGGGACAAAAGTCCTTTGGAAACATGAAATTACAGCCAGAGAGAAGCAGCTCTACAAAGACAGCATAGCATCACAGCCACCTAAATCGTTGGACTAATGTTTTCCAGTGGGATGAATACGATACTCTCAAGAATCTCTTAAGAAGGAAAGAAATAGTAAGAAGGGGAAATGAAGCTGAAAAGAGACATCTAGTTAAGAGGAAAAAGCACTCCAGGTTACTGATAGGGAAATATATATTACAATACAGTGCTATTACATAAGGCCTTTCCTCAGAAAGATCAAAAGTTGCTAAAGAACAGAAAGGGAATTTCAATCCAAATAGCCTATGTTTAAGAGAACCTAGAAAAAATTATATAAGTTGCCCAAAGGGAAAAAAGAATCATTTCCAAGGCAAGAAAATGTGTGTACATTTGTCAGCTAACTAAGCAAAAATGTTCCACTCAGACTACACCCTTCAGGTAGAGTGAGAAATGGTGTGTGCTGAATATCCAATGTTTAAACAGTACCTCTACTATGTGACTCAGCTGGGTGAATGTTTCTTTCATATATAGTCCTACTTTTTTTACGTATACCCAACTTACTATACTATGGCAATGTTAATGTGATTTTTATCACAGCTTGGGTTGGCTGTTTATACTAAGATTAACCTTTGAAAAGCTTATGGAACTACTTACTATATTATGCTGTGATACATAAATATCAAAGTCATTTCCTAAACAAAATTATATGACATAAATTCCATACAGAGTAAAAAACAGTGAATTCAATCACTGTCCTAAATTGATCAACTTTGGTACAGATATAGATAAACTTAATATATTTTGCCCAAACTGCAGGCAGTGAGAGAAAACCAACCATAATCTAACAAGTGCGTACAGAAGACTAAACAAAGAGATGGGGTAACGTAACCAAGGACAGTCCCCCTTTCTTGTTTCTCAGCTTTATTAATTCATTTATAGAGCGAATATATACTGAACACCCATTGTGTGACTGGCACTAAGGATATGGCACTGAAGGAGGCAAGTAGAATTCAGGTGGTGGTGGTGGTGGTGGTTGTGGTGGTGATGATCGTGATGATCATTTTAAAAGAATTAAAATGTAATTTTATTATTATAATGATTTGTTAGTTAATTACCATAATTCAACAAAGTGGATTCTATTACTATTCCCATTTTACAGATGAGAACATTGAGACTAAGAAAATTGAATACCTTGCCCTGGGTCACACAGATAGACATGAGAGAAAAAATAATTCCTGGCCCAACTCTATTCTTAAACTACTTCCCCACCACAACCACCATAATGTATTAAACACTATAAATTACCAAACCCTGAGCTATGCCTTTCATAAACATTATCTCATTGAACCTTCAACAAAAATCTAGTGGGGTCAGTATTATTCATCTGGATTAGGATTATCTCAATACTCAGTGCTGAAAACGTTTTTTTAAAAAAAGTAGGTAGATTCAGAGTAATGGTGAGAACCTCTTTGACAATTTCCCTTCCCTCCCCCTTTTTTAAGACAGAAATCCTGCCTAAGGAACTTCTTATTACACAAAGAACTTAGAAATGTTTTTTTCTATAAGTAACAAAGCCTAAAACTTATCTTCCCTAAAGTTTCTATTTGGAGGCCCAGAATTTAAACCAATACATTTTGATCCCAATTTATCAGAGTTTGCCACTATCACAAACCCTTTGAAAGTCTGCAAATACACCTACAGATACTGAATCAAAGTTAGGAGAAACCACGGCAGAGACTTTCAGGTCATCTTCTCTCTCGGTCATAGGCCATACACCTGTAATTTTAAGAGAAAAAAAAGTATTTACTCATAAAGTAAAGCTTGCTGTATACAGTTGCTAAGGTTTATCTATACCATATATCAAATATATACTCACGAGTTGAAAAAAAAACTGAGGCATTTCAGAATGAGAAGCTTTATGCTAATTCTTTCCCCTCTACATTACTAGAAAGGAAAACTGTCTCTTTTTCCAAAGATATTAGCTAAGATGTGACCCATTGACTGACGAGTGTCAGGAATTTAAATTCCCTATCCTTAGCTACTGGTAGAAGCCAAAAAGAGTGCAACTCTTTTGAAGGTAAACTGGCTGTAATTATCAAAATGTAAAATTCACCAAAAAAATGTAAAATTCATATACCCTGTGACTTAACAAATCTACTCCCAAACATTTACCCAATACTCATAGACATGCCCAAGGAGTTTCTCTGTTGCTAGTAATTATGAAAAACAAAGCAGCCTAAATCTAAATTATATTTCTATTAATAGAGAAATAGTTAACTAAATTATGGTATATCAATACTGTGCAATGGTCCAAAACCCATAACTCTAAATAAGAGTGCTGTCCATCTTTATATACTGACATGAAAAGAAATCCTAGATATGATATTGATTTAAAAAAAGCAAGATGTAGTACAATGTCTCTAATACACACGTATTTGTGTAAAAACAATTATATAAACAGGAAAATTTTCTCAAAGAATACACAAAAACTTTTAATAAAGGTTACCTTTAAATAATCTAGTGGAACAAAGACCTGGGGTTTATGCTTTCAGTACTGTTTGAATTATTTTGACCATATTCACTTTCTCTTTACAATTGAAAATTTCACAATTTAAAAAATGTTTATAGTGTATAATGAGGTATGACAGGACGAGAGAGAGTCATGGACATATACACACTAACAAACGTAAGGTAGACAGCTAGTGGGTAGCAGCCGCATGGCACAGGGATATTGGCTCGGTGCTTTGTGACAGCCTGGAGGGGGGGGATAGGGAGGGTGGGAGGGAGGGAGACGCAAGAGGGCAGAGATATGGGAACATATGTATATGTATAACTGATTCACTTTGTTATAAAGCAGAAACTAACACACCATTGTAAAGCAATTATACCCCAATAAAGATGTTTAAATAAATAAATAAATAAATAAATAAAATAAATAAAAAGAACAAGTTATAGAGATCCTAAATAAATAAGAAACATAAATAATACATATGCACATACATATGTGTATATATATACATATATATATGGCAGATTATTGGCTGTCCCCCTAACATCCATTCTTCCCTCCTCCTTCTTTGTGGCAGAACACTAATTCTGTTGAGGCATTCACCTCATCTCAAAGTTATTGAATTGGTCAAATCGCATCATGATGATTTCTCCCCTGACCTTTTGTTGTTTTAGTCGTGATCATGGAGCCTAATCCTGGCAGATGTGAGGTAAGGAAAGGTGGGAGTCGGCATGCTGGTACATGCTTCTGGGAAAGCTAGTCCTCCCTAATAAATGGGGACACTTGGGAGAAATATCTCTCTTCTTCCCTGGAAATCATACTTGCACATAATGCCTGGAACTGCTAAAATCACCCTGTGACCCTGAGAGGAAACATCCCCCCACACTGAGGATGGCTGACTGAAAATATAGAAAGCACCCGGATGATGTCACATAAATCAGCTGTCTCACAAAGAGAAGAACCACCTACAATTGCCACCAGGCATTCCCACCAATATTACACTGTTTGGAATAAGAATTTCCACAACTTAGTGAGAGTACAAAAGGCTGCTTGTTGCCCACCCAGTAAAGATTCTTCAGTTCTTCTTTACTAAAAAAGAGTCCAATTTTATCCTAAGTAACAAAGTGCTCAACCAAAATGCTAAATTTCCCAGGCTCTTTTGCAGCTTGGAGTGGCCGGTCAGATGTAAGTGGAAGCTGTTCAGGGTGTGGCTTCCAGGAAAGATCGTTAAGTGGGCTGACTCAGCTGCAGATGTGAGGGCAGGAGTTCCAGAAGCCATCCTAGACCAACAGAAGACCCTGGGTGAGAAGGAATCAAGAGTCCCTGATGACTTTGGAACTGCCAAATCAACCCTGGACTGCCCATTATTGGACTTCTTTTCCATGAGAAAGAAATAAACCTGTGCCTTATTTAAGCCACCCTATTTAGGCATTCTGTTATATGCAGCCAGACATAAACCCGAATAGCACATCTTCCAACAAGGTTACCAGGTACAAATGTTTCTACTACTCAGTGGTAGAAGCAACTTAGTTATCCTAGACATATTTCAAATGGGTGAAGACTTGCATTTATACGCCCATGTCTTACTGCTCTCTTTCCCTTCCTGAAGACACAAGTATGCTGTGTGGGAGTCTATCTCAGTATTGTACCCTTTCCTTCATATCCATCCCAAGTAAAGAACATATCAACTGTCTAAATCCATCATAAGGAAACTCTGTTTTTGAAAGTGCCTACTGATAGATGTTGTTGACTACTAGTAACAGAAATGCAAGGCAGGATTCTCACTAATGAGTATGAAAAGCTTCAAAATCCATAAGCCATACAGAAATTATTACTATAACTTCATGCTTACAACATACATCCCTCATATAACTTACACACATAAAATCAGCTTCAAAAATACTTTTATTACAGTAGATAATATATACCATGTGTAAAACAAAATATACTCTTTAAATTGGCTTTACATTTTGCTGCAGTTCTTGCTTTGAAGAAATAAAACAAGCTTTAAAGTGCTGAAAATAACCCACAAGACTGTGAACTTCTTTTTTGCAAGTTAAAGTCACTGTATTAAAATAGGTGGCATTTAAATGAATAATGAGGTCATCAAAAAGTTCAGAGTTTTAACTTCTCATAATCTTCTGTAATGAAATGATTTGGTGCTTTTATATAATTACAGGTTTTGGGGGGGTTTTTTTGCGGTACGCGGGCCTCTCACTGCTGCGGCCTCTCCCGTTGCAGAGAACAGGCTCCGGACGCGCAGGCTCAGCGGCCATGGCTCACGGGCCTAGCTGCTCCGCGGCATGTGGGATCTTCCCGGACCGGGGCACGAACCCGTGTCCCCTGCATCGGCAGGCAGACTGTCAACCACTGCGCCACCAGGGAAGCCCAATTACAGGTATTTTAATGAACAAATATACCACAATTTTATAAGTGTAGAGAATACTAAATTTTTTCCATATCTAGAAATAAAATATGTTAAAAGTCTTTTTTAAGAGTCTCGGTTTCTTTTGTAGGAATAAAACCAAATGATGGTGGCAAAGAAGGGGCAGAGAACTTCAAATATTAACTTTGAGGTTATATAAATAATAAACTTTGCACTCAAGTCTGTGGGTACATCCCTAGCTTAATTAGCACTTATTTTAAGATACACAGAAGAATCAGGGTAATGACAAGTAAAACAGCCTAACCCTTCTCACCCAAGGGCATCACTATGGCCACCAAAAAATAACTTTTAGCTGTAAGGGATTTACCTGAGAAATGTTTTACATAATCAAGTGTTAATCAAAATATCGTTAGCACATTGTTTATGGAAAGGCCAAAATCTCAAGACACAAAATTTGTAGTGAAAAGCCACATTAAACTTATTTAACCAACTCTGGAAATTTCATGTTTCATATGTATGCCACTTTTCTCCAATTACATTTTTAAGTGACAAAATGAGACTTATATTCCATTAATCCCAAAACACTAGTATCAAAAATGGAAAAAAATGTGCAATATGACACATCCAGTTTTAACTATTCTCTATTTGACATGAGGGTCCTGACAACAAATGGGTTTTTAAATAATTGGAGGCACTTAAAAGACCTAAGTTTCACTTGTTTATTTTCAAAACTTTCTAAGAGAATGTGTAAAACCAAAGCATAATAATTTTATTTTAATATTAATATTTTTAATATATTATCTAAATTCCTCTGAATGTCTCTTGGTAATATGGGCTCAAAAATACATAAATCTAGGAAAGTGACTGGACCAGGATTAAGATTGGCTCTGTTGTTTTGGTTGGCTTTTGATGCTCTGCTTCTTTTATTATTCCTGCTTGTTTTAACATTTCTTTTAAGTGAAAATAGTCCATATTTTTTCTCATTAAAAAAATACTTTTACCTGACCCTGAGAAGGGAACTTAAAGTAATGCTTTTCACATGTCCAACTCAAACTGCAGGATTGCTGTTTTGTTTCTCCTTTTAATTTACAGTAAAATTATACCCCTGTGAATCCCAAAGTAAGATAATATTGAGTTATACAAAACTCAAGAACTGAAAATATCAGCAGCCTCTGAGTCATTAGAAATCAGCATACCACAGGCTACACTCCATTTGGATCGCTAATTAACTACAAACATAAATTATATCACTAGGCTGCAAATGACTACATTTTTAGTAACAAAGTAGTAATTCACATACTGCTTTGGTTTCTTTTAAAATAAGCAACTAAAATTTTTTCAGGGATATTAGAAGTTAATAAATGATCACTCTAAACCTTAATGTAATTCTAAAGGTCTAAAACCACTATCCAAAGAAATACATGTTCCTTTCTTAGAGTTTAAAGAAAAAAACTCAGCACTGTCCCTGAAACACACTAACAAAAGTATTACTAGTAAAAGTACACACTAGTAAAAGTATTGTTAAATAGGACATATTTTTCAGAAGCTATAAAATACAAATTAAGCACAAAGACTAGTGTGTTAAAGAGCAATGCTGTTTTTACAAAAATGAGTTTAATTAAGCCTGGGGGAGAAAATCAACTAATATGTACAAAACATTATCCATATACAAAATAATATAAATTTTACAATGAATACTAAAATCAAATAATAAAAAGCTGCAAATGAAATACCTTGTGATTTGTTAACATCTTTGATGATTTTCTGAAGTTCTTTCAATTCTATATCAAGTTCATCATAGTTTAGTTCTCTAGATTCAACTTTTGGAGCTTGGAACAAAGAAGGGTCTGTCCCCAGGTATGAACACTGCAAGTGACCATCATCACTGAGAGTGACTATCACTCCCTTTAAATCACTACAAAAAGGAAGAGAAAATGAGACATAATTAAAATTTTTGGTGAATTTAGATTTAATCTAGACCAACTAGATTTTCATTCGATTCAGCTTCAACATACCATTAAGAAAATGACTATATAACGTATCTATTTCTAAAGTTTTACATCAAGGACTCAATTTAAATGTTTCAAACATGATTTATATTTACAGAAATATAACAATTATTATTAAAGCTTCCACTTTGGGGGACATAACTATGTGGCAACTGATGCTCTAAGAGCTTTTCAAGGTCTTACTTGTATCACTCAATCCTCACTGCACCTCCCCCCACTTGGCAGATTCATAATAAGCAGTGAACAACACGTAGGAGCTACAATGGATCAAGAGCCAGGCTCCCGGCTGGCTGAAGACTAGGGCTGAGGCACAGGAGGGAAGATGGGACAATCCAGGGGAATGGGAAGGTTAGTGGAGGAAGCCCTATGAGGCCTTGAAGAGAAATGTGCCCACTGCTCTTTTCCTTTTCCTTCTCTCTACCCTTGGGACATGCTTCCCCTCCCTCCTCAGGTCCACTCACCATGGCTTCTTTCACACGCACTCCTATTCAAGTAGCTCTCTGGTCTGTTCTCTCTTTCCCTTCACTCTTAGATAGAAGTATCCCATTTTCTCATTTAGTAGCTCTTTCTCCATCACTCTTCTCATCCTGATTATCTCTTTTCCTCCCCATCCTTTCACTCTTCCTTCTCTCTTAGGCTCCCTCATCTCTGTTATTCTCTAGAAATAGCCATAATATATAAATTATAGATAACCTTAGCATAAATGCTTAAAAATAAAAGTTGTACATTTCCCTGAACTTGCTATAAAAAGTAGTTGAGATGAACACTATTGGCTTCCTCCCTACCTTGCCCAGAGGGAAAAAAATTCAATATTGCCATAAATCATTTTGAACTGATATAAAATGAATTTGTTTTAGATTTGTTTGTTGTGTTTTCTATTGGTCTGTGATTTAAAAAAAAAACAAAAAACAAGTTTTCCAACACTTTTCTAAAGGTTAAATATTAGTCAAAAACAACAGAAAACTTGAGAGAGAAAAGAACTTGAAAAGAAGTGTTGCTATTTATCTGAAGAAAAGGAGTTAAGGTATATGAGTCTAGGACTCATTCACAACAAATAAGAATTTTTAAAACTCCCCAACTTTGGGTCATGGCAAGTGGTCAGCTCATTAATCTAAAAGCTCAACTTGATTGACAGTAAATACTACCATTGCTCAATCCTTCCCATAAGGTGGCCACCAGCAACCACTTCACCACCTGCCTTCAACACAATATTCCTGTACATACTTTCTCCAGGATATATACATAATTCTGTAATGTGACTTCAGAAAAATAAAAAATAGATTGTTATCACTGATTTTATAGCTAAAAAACTAGCTAAAAACTAAAAAGGGGACTTGGGTTCTAGCTCTGACTCTGCTCTATGTAGCTGAGTCAACTTGGAGAAGTCTTCCTAAATGCTTTATGTCTAAAATGAGAGGGTGAAACGAGATGATCCTCAAAGGTCTTTAAGTTTAACAAACTGGTTCCATCAAAATAGCTCAGAAAATAAATACTCCCAAATAAAATTATTTTCCTAAAATAAAATGTTTTCACCCCTGTAGTATCTCTGGGCCTGACCCTTTCCTTGCAGGCAACTGAAGCCACTTAGTGGCCCTGGAAATCCCAACTTCCAGCTCTGACAAGCCCATTTCAAGAGGGCAAACCTCTGTCCCTATTGAGTTAGTTGTGACTGTAGTCTGTTCCCCATTCCACCCAGACCTACTAAAGTCTGAGAACACAGTAAGTCCTAAGGAAATGCTAGTAAACGAAAAGGCAGAGCTTCTCAGACAATGTGGTGATCATCAGTTCTTTGAATCCAAAAGTGTATTTCCATTTTATCTTCCCCCTTTGAGCGATCCATTATAAAGGAAACCTAGCATGAGGCATTACAAATATACCTCACTATCCAAATTTATTTGGTCTTTGAATTGGATAGCTTATCACGGAATCAGTTTCATCCCACTGTTTTAGATGGCAAATAGCAACAATTTAGATACAGGGATTTACCTAAAAATTTATCTGAACCTATTAAGTTGTTGAGTTCAGATAGAGAGAGTTTGAATAATAGTGTATACACATATTTCTTCAGTGTCTCAAAAAGAAAAAATTCTTTACTGGTGTTTTGAGGTGTCCAAACAGAAAAGGGAGAAGCCAGGATCTTTACCCACTCGAAGAGCTTAACAAGTGTCACCAGAATGTCTTAACACTAAATTCCAAAACTTAAGCAATTTACTTTTTTCTTATCAATGGTATTAGAGCCATTACCTACAATTTAGATCAAATAACAGAAATTTAGAATAGCTGAATTCATTTAACATTGCATGTTTTATTCCACAGGAACACTAACACAAGCTCTAAACATTTTAGAATAAATCAGTGAAATTTCTGTCTAAAACATCTATGATGGAAAAAGTACTTTGACACAGGTCTATACCACTACTTAATACATAAGTAATGTCATCACTCGGTATCTTAAATGCAAAGGAAAATTTTTAAATATATATATAAATATATATATCGTTCCTAAAGTTAAGCCCAACTTAAGTATAAAGTCCAATTTAAGTATAAAAGAAGAACACAATCAAGATTTTTTTAATCTTTCTACTTAAAGAACATTTTTAAAACAATATTGTCCATGTGAGTTAATGTGTACAATTTTCTGAGTGATAGAATTTTATGTTAGGAGAAGCCATCAAGTAAATCAAGTATTGTGTGCCTTATTACTTACTTACATCCTTAGAGTAAACACTCTCAAAATGAAGGTCTCTAGATTACTCTGGTCCTTGAAATACATCAGCTAAACCAAGGAACCAGAATAATGTATTTTATGAGGACTCAAGGTCAAAGATGTTATATTGCTAGGACACACAATAATTTTGTGATTTTAGCAATGGGGCATGAAATTAAACAATACAGTTAGCTCAAGAATCTGAGGGTAATTGTTTCTTCACTCAGTAAACAGATCCTGGCCTTAACAACACATTCAAACAAAATTCCAGATGGATTTTAAAAGTTAAATTAAAAAATATGAAACTACAAAAATATTTATCTGCCCTTGGGATGGAAAGAACTTTTGCTGCAATAAAGCAATAGAGGACAAAGCAAAGGATCTCTAAGTTAAACCACAAAAAAATTTTAAACTTGTTCTATGCTTTAAAAATACATTACAGTAAAAAGAACAAACTGGGAAAACCTTGGCAACCAACATAAATATATGATTTAAGTTGAATCATATGAAGTTGTGGATATTCAACTGTTTTTGACCTATAAAAACAATTGTGTAGTTTCCTCTACTATGTAAAGAACTCTTACAAGTCAATGAAAATGAGTATATCCCAAAAGAAAAAGGTCAAAGAAAATGTACAATTCACTTGAATCAGCAACTTAAAGGTTAAATAATCTATGGAATTAAAACTTTTATGTAGTTCTCTTTTTCTGACAAGGCCAATCTATAAAATGAGTAACTTGAAAGTATTTGAAATACAGCTCAAAAGATAAAAAATGAACAGTTTCTTTTGCTAATACAATAAAACAAATGAATAATAGCTTTAAAAACAAATGAAAAGAACATGCACTGAATCTAATGGTTCTTGTCCAGCTGCACTTTATGCAAAATAAAAATATTTTAAATCATCAAAGTCTGGTTTTTATTATGATATACAGATATCAAAGAAATCTTAAAAACTTAAATTTTGGATTCTTTCATGCCTTTACCAAAATAATACTGAAACAGAAAACAAAAAGTAGGAAGGTGCATGATTTCCATCTAGTCTCTTTTTTATTTACTATCTGCCTCTCATTTCTCTACTATATTTAATTTGCTCATCATTCATTCACTCATTCATTCATTCATCAAATATTTTCAAACACCTGTTATATGCAGGATGCCATTTGAAGTGCTATAGAGCATACACAGATAAAATCAGAAATTAGCTGAAAAAGATTGCAACCCTGTAAAAGAATAAGACATGCACCTCGATAAGTATGCATGGGGTGGAAAACATAAGAGCTATAAGACAAGTATAAAGTACTTTAGTGTTCAGAAGTAGGAATGTCATTTCTAGCCAAGGGGATCAGGGAAATTTTGATGGAGGAAATAAAAGCTTAAGCTGGACACTGAAATTCAGTCTACTCTTCAGATTATTTCTGAAATCTGAATTAACTCACATGTGATTTGTAAGCAAGGAAATGATGTCAATAGAACTTTGAAGTTGGTTCATACTCTTTTACCCATCACCTGAACGTTTTTTGTTTTTTTTTTTTTTTTTTTTGGTTCGCGGGCCTCTCACTGTTGTGGCCTCTCCCTTTGCAGAGCACAGGCTCCGGACGCGCAGGCTCAGCGGCCATGGCTCAAGGGCCCAGCCACTCCGCGGCATGTGGGATCTTCCCGGACCGGGGCACGAACCTGTGTCCCCTGCATCAGCAGGTGGACTCTCAACCACTGCGCCACCAGGGAAGCCCCACCTGAACGTTTTGAACCTCCAAGTAGTAGCAGAAAAATATAGTACATGGCTATATACAAAGCACCATTATTCCACTGTTCTTTTTGGCTCAGTTTGCAAATATGTCCTGGATTGAAAGTGCTTCTTACATGGTTCTCATGTTCAGTTTGTCTTTTGCTCTTTTTTCCTCAACGCTTCCTTCACGCTACCATCATCTTTCTATTTAAAAGTAAAGTCCTATTTTAATATGACTGTTATTTGGGTTTGGCTTGTTCGTTTGGTTGATTAGTTTCTTGGTTGGTTGGTTCGCTTTGCTTTGCTTTTTTGGTGCTCCAATCACAGTTGTATAAATTTTAAGTGATCTGCCCCACGACAATTTATTTTGCTTGTTTGGTTGTTTTTTTACTTGACATGTAGTTGATTTACAATGCTGTGCCAGTCTCTGCTGTACAGCAAAGTGACTCAGTTTTACACGTATAGACATT